CACAGTTTTACATTCTTAAATCAAAAAATTTATTCAAATGGACATAATCACATTACTCACTTTAAGTCTAATATTAGGTCGGGCCGAGCTATTTTGACAAAACCCGAGCCCGGCTTGAATTTATTGCGGGCCAGGCTTTTTGGCCCGAATTTAAGCCTGCGGGCCTATAACCACGTTCAAGTCCGTCCGGGGGCCATGAATAAGTCTACATACAACTCTTCCTGGTTGACTAGTGTAGAGGCTAGAGGGCATGCAATCCAAAAGAGGTGTGTGAATCAGACTGAGGGTGGTTGCGTTAGGTATGCCAGGGGAAATGATGGAACAACCTTGCATCGGGAACATCTCCATACTTCTATGCTTTATTTCATGGAGAGATATTCCCAATGTAAGGCTATAATGACTGTTCGAATGGGCTTTGCACCAACTAAATCCAGTTTTGAAATGATGTTGACGTTTTATTTTGGGTCGCATTCTCCAACGATTAGGTGTTGGGTGCAGAAGGTTCTTGCCTCGTTGCTGGTGGTAGAGTTGAGGAATCATCTCTTTAATATTCTCTTGTTGTTGCTTGAGCTTATCGATCTTTTGTACTTTCTGGAGAGTGGTGACAACATCTTCTAGCTTGTTTCAATATAAGTAACTCGATCTTTGAGGCTATAAACCTTGTCAGCAAGGATCTTGACGTTACCACCATCTTCATATTCATAATAAGAGTGTGTGTTGTGAGTATTCTCCTATTGTCTCCTCGATGATGGGAGAGAGGTTAGTTTTTGTTGGGACTCTCATCTTCCTAAGTGGCATCTCTATGATCAAACAAGCATCTAGAGATTCTAAGTGTGGATGGGTAGGTTATGGCACTAAGGGAATAAGTTTGCTGGACAGAAGGATAGTAGTCTCGTTCACTCGGTGACAGTGGTGTCCTTTCCCTTTCCATGGTTGAGTGTTTTATTGCCATTGTTGTGCTTGGATGGCTATAGAATCTTTTGTCCTTACAAGGTTACTATTTGGCCATCACATCCGAGAGTTATGCTAGGGAGTTTGGGAATCATACCAATTTGCTACCCCTTATACTTGAGTTCGGATTTCCTGCACATATTCTCTTGAACATCTTCCTCCGCTACCTCTTAAAATGCGACACGTCAGTGTCAGTTTAAATGGTTTATATGTGTGAGTAACTTAATAGATATATAAGAGACCTTCGTTTCTTTATCTTTGTCCTCATTTGAAACTTTGGTGGAAGAGAATTACGTCTTTGAAAAGATTTTTCATCGAATTTAGGCTTGAATTAGTAGTTTGCTAATAAACTAAGTTACAAGAAGTTGGTGAAAATTCATTTGATACATTTCTTATGTATACATAGGTTCTATATTGGATTTGAATAAGATTACGTATTGATTGACTGCTTTCATTACGTTGTTAGCAAATACCAATCTTTTTGGTTTTGCATCTTCCAAATTATTCCAGTAAGAGATCCAAAACATTTTTTTTCTGATCTTTTGATAAAAAGATTCATTCTTTTCATAAAAAATAGGAGGTAGAAATAATAAATATTTCTTCTTCGATTCATCCCTAGAGTTGAATACCTCATTCAATAATTTTTTTATTAATAACTTTAGTCAAAATCAATAAATCGTTGAAACTATATCTCTATCTATATTTTAAGACTTGTTTTGTAATTTTCTGAATCATTATAGACCCCTACTTTACGACCCAAGCAGTAAAAAAACCCCTTGAATTTCACTTAGATCAATCTTTATGTACAAGAAATGAGTCAATTTTCTTTTGATTTATTTCAAAAAACAAGATTAAACAAAAAGTTTCAAGATCAAAATTCCTGAAGGTTATATTCTCGTGTTTAATCTGCTCAACTTCTATTTCAGCTTTGCAAAAAATCTCTTAGGTCAGAAACATTCCTATATCGATGCCTTTTTGAATATTGTATAAACCTAAAATGACACTATTATGGCACCAGAGAGTTTTGCAGAAGAACATGAGATACACCAGTAAAACAATTATGGGTTGGGTTTCTTAGAGGAATTTCTCTCTGTCTATGCTTTGTTTTCCGGCCATATTTTTCCTCATAAGATTGGAATAATTGAGTGTAAAGAAATGGGGTCTCTTGAACTTCCATTAAGTTTATCGCACATATAAGTTTTTCAACTCACATGATGTTGGCATGGCACAATCCAAGAGGTTGTGGTTTTTAAAACCAAATTGGTGACCAAACCAATTAAGGGTCCAGTTACCGGTTTGAACGGTTCGACCATTCGACCCTAACGGCCAACCTGTTCTGACAAAAAAAATAAAACAATTTAAAAAAATTAAAAAACAGTCAAAACTGTTCAAACGGTTAACTGGCCGGTTCAACGGTTTTGGGGAAAAAAGCGGGTTTGGGAAAAACCGGAACCGGTTAGGTGACCGATTCCCAGTTTTTCCAGTCCAACCGCCCGATCCAATCTGATTTTGAAAACTATGGTAGGAAGATGTATAGAACGATATGTGCAGGAGATCCAGACTCCTTATACTCACTTAGGAGATTCATTAGAAATTATGTCAGAATGGAGGAGTGTTCTCAAAGAAACTGTGACACCTAGGACACCCCCCTTTTCCCGACATGTGTCCCATGGGAGAGTTAGTTATTGTCCCCCTTTTCATTGTCCTTTATTCTAGGCCATTATGTCCTTAGTTTTATTGTATCATGCTCTTGAAGTCGTGTTCATCATTCATGCACACTATCTGATACATTCTCGAGACCACTCTAATGGTTTCCATCTCCCCTTCGTGCTATGTAGTGGGCTTTTTCATTCCCACACTCTTATAGTCAAACTAATATATATGGGTAAATCTTTTAAGTTTTTCTTACTATTCATGAAATTGATAAACTGTATCCTTATTGTTTATATATTATCTTAAATTATTCTTTAAGTTTTCTAACAATTGACATGCCACTAACAAAAAAAATGAAATATCGAATTTGTCCTTCACTATTCATCAAATTTTCAAATTAAAACCTAATTGATGAAAAACCCCTCGTCTCTCCCATTGCAAACAAGGGTTTTGCAGAGGGGACACACAACCCTTCCGTTAAATCTCTTCGAAATCAATTCTCTCTCCTCTCTACCACCTCCATCGCACACAGTGGGATGTCAAGGAAGCAGATTGCTAGTTCATCTTCGTCTCCACCTCTGTTTTTCGTCTGTCTTTATCTCCATTTTCCAGGAAACGTTCACATCTGTTATTCCCGAACACATTTTACTAACAACAGTCTCCCATAAAATCTCGACTTCAAGCTTCGTAATCAGACCACCACCTGTCCTCAATGTCCGATCTTAAGAACCCAACAATAATTTATGCAAAAAAAATGTTTGATGAGATTCAAGAAAGGGCATCATCGAGTATACCTGAAAGTCCAATGTCAACTGAAGCTTCCAGTTCTCAAAATAATACTATTTGAACCAATCTTCCAGCTCATAGATAAAACTAAAAGGAGAACTTTGGAATGGCAAACAGAAAAATTCAAGAATAAAATAAAGGAAACATGTTGCAAACTTAAGAAGCTAGCGGTGAACTAGACGAGGGTAAAGATCATGCCTCCAAAAGCCCAGGAAATCCCTTGAATACCCACCGAAGCACACTTATTGGAGCCCTTCCCACACCCGTCACGGTTAAAATGGCTATGCTCAAGAAGAGAAAAGTGGCCATGAACTCTACAATTCTAGCTCTCCTAAACGACCACGATTTCAACTCCTCGAGCTCAAACGATAGAGCTGGTGGTGGCTCCTTGTAATCTTAGCTCATAAGACTGAGAAAAGTGACCATGAACGCATCGCTGAACTTCAAGATCCTAGCTCACAAGACTGAGATCGAGACGCTCGAAGCCAAGTAGTAGGTTGTAGCCCAACAATTCAGGGAGTTGAAGAATGAGGTGGAGCTTGAGGAAATCTCAAAGCCGACACTGTCACCCTGCAATTTCCAACAGCTGCTGTGAACAAAGTGTGACAAGGGAGATTTTAGACAATTGTCAGAAAACTTAAGGGTAGCTTAAGACAATACAGTTTGTCAATTTTATGAACAGTAGGGGTAATTTAATTTCAATATATATATATGTGTGTGTGTGAATTTGCATAATTTCATATTAAAATAGTTATAGAAATAAAGAGTATCAAGTGTTTTCACATGCTCAATACAGCTTGTCAATACTTCGAACTTTATCCATATATATAGGTGTAACTTGGGCAGGCCCAACCTGAGCCCAAACTTTTACATAGGTTGGGTTTGGATTTTCAGTCCTCGGGCTGGGCTCAGGCCTAGCCCTTAGGTAACCCAAACCCAACCCGAGCCCAACCCACTTGACACATTCATACATACATATGTATATATGTTATAATTTTGGAGCAGGTTCATTGACCAACCCAACCTGAATACATCAAATTACAATGTGGGCTGGGCTTGAGTTGGAAAGATCGGGCTTGACCTCTGGCTCGGTCAGGCTCAGGCCTTAAACCCAAATTTTAAGAATGAGCCTAGGTTGATCATAAACCGGGCCCAACCTGCCCAACTTGCACCCATAGTAGTGTATTTTTTCATATAAACTATTAAATTAAGCATCTATTTATTTATTTATACCTTATTCATTATTATTTCAACCTAAAATCTTTATTAATATAATTGTGAGAATTTCCCTGGTGTATCCAAATGTATTCATATCTTTCCGCCATATCCGGGCATCCATGCATATCAAATGATATCGTGATATGTGATACCAGTATTTTGGACCTTAACGCCCTAGAAATGCACCATATAGCACCCATTTGAAACATCGTCATTTTAAGTGGCTCTGTTAATACCATTGTCTGTTGAGTCCCTTACAATATTCCAGATGCGTTGTTTACAGTACACTTGTATGGCATAGAAAAAAATAACAAATTTGCATGTTTAGCATTTTTTCGCTTCACAATTATTTTAGTAACCTAAGTTATATATTGCAGCTAAAGAAGGTAGAGTAGGCTGCCACAACCTGCAATTATATTACCAGGTAATGGCAGGAAGCATTCTTACATGGTTGCTCATACAAGTATCAATGTTCTTAAGCTCTACGATTACAAATTGCAGACTAGCATGGAAGACAGTTGAGAATCAGATGCTCCACTAATAACAGCACCATTATTTTTAACCCCCAAGAGATAATCTAAAGCTCTTGCTGTAATAACCTCACCAGGGATCACCACTGGAATCCCCGGTGGATATGGGCATATAATTTCCCCAGATACCTCACCAAGACTCTCTGCTACACTTACTCTTCTTTTACTGGCAAAAAAAGCCTCTCTAGGACTCAGTCTCGTGCCAAAATCAGCAAAAGGTGCACAATCAGTGTTTAGCAACTTCCTCTCACTGCCACCATACCTGAAGAAAGTAGTTGATAATTGCTTTAGTCCAAATACAAGCCTCTCAATGTCCCGTCTGCAGGTCCCTAAGTTGATAGCAAATGTCAAAGACCGAGTCCCAGCAAGCTCAGCAATGACCCCATGGTCACTACATAAGATCTTGTCTGCTTCATAACCAGATAGGCCAAGCTGCCACAAACCAATGGTAATCCGCAAGAGATCAATGGTAGAAATGTTAGAGAAGCTTGAAAAGTCAAGGACTGAAATGCCAGGAATGCTCTTGATAATTTGTGTTGCTTCAATAGCTAGTTCTATTGCTTCATTAAAAACAGTTTTGGGGTTTTCAGCTAATTGAGCTGTAGCTGCATCTAATGATGCCAGAAGGAGATAACTGGGACTGGTGCTTTGAAGTGTTTGAAGACAGCTGCGTATCCTCTCTCTATCTACAATATCACCTGCCATGTGTAACATGGATGACTGCGTAAGAGAACATAGAACTTTATGTGTGGATTGCACTGCAAGGTCCACACCTTGCTTAAGGGCAGAACCAGGCAGCTTAGGATGAAATCCAAAGTGAGCCCCATGTGCCTCATCAACTATTATGGGGATTCCACAGGAATGACAGATCTGTGTGATTTCACTCAAATTGCTGCAAATTCCATGGTAAGTAGGAGAAGTAACAAAAACTGCACTGGCTTTCAGACCTTCCGCCTCCAATTCTTTTATTGTTTTCTCTACCTGTGAAGGTGTAACCCCACCAGTGATGTCCCACTCCATATTGTACTCAGGAATGATGTATTTTGGTAGTGCACCAGATAATACCATAGCAGATATGGCTGATATATGAGAATTCCGAGGGAGGATGAGGACATTGCCAGGGGAACAAGTAGCCATGATAGCTGCCTGGATCCCACACGTGGTACCACCAACAAGAAACCATGTTTCAGATGATCCAAAAAGTTTGGCTGCTTGCCTCTGTGCATATAAAATGGGGCCCTCTGGAGAAAAGAGATTGTCAAGCTCTGGAAGCTCAGGTAAGTCATGCAGGAATGGTCTGGTACCAATAAGTCGAGTTAACAGAGGGGGTGCAGCACGCCCCCTATTGTGTCCAGGGAAGTGAAAGCTAGCAGCATCTTGTTTGGAAGAAGTTTCTAGTGCACTAACCAGAGGGCCTGCATGTTGTGGTGGTCCCGGGGATTTGAGGACAAGGTTATCAGTGTGTGGGACTTTCTCAAAGCACCCTATGGACTTCCTTTCATCTTGCTGTGTCCCTGGCTCAGTGATGCTTATTTCCTCTGAGACATTCTGCATAAGGAGAAAAAGTGTTACACTTGCATTCACTTGAATTTCAGAGGATAAATGTAGCTAAGACATGCCTCTTCTTGATATAAATTTGAGTTTTCTAGATGTTAAGCTAAATCATATGATAACCATAATTAAGCAGGTCAAGCTGATTTATCATGAATCAGAAACGACAGTTTCCTGTTTGATTTACACAATTACTATTAAGATTTGGTGGTATCTTATAGTGGGAATGCCTAAACCTATATTATTATTTTTTGATAAATAACAGAAACTTTTATTAAGAATGAGATTAAAAGAGAAGGATACAACAGGAGGGAGGGGTAAAATCTCTTAACCCTCCCTGTAAGTTTACTTCATACCACAACACTGCCCAGAAAGGATTATCTCTTCCCACCCCTTGCTTGGCCAAAGAGTCTGAAAAAGAATTGGCACACCTCTTAGTCCACTGAAACTGAACTTCCATGTTTTGAGACAGATGTTTAATTTTCTTTTTCTCATTTAAGTAGTATTTAGTTATGTATGAGTCTACCCTTGGCATTTCTTTATGTTAATATAATGAAAACTATATAATAATAAAGTATCAATTCAATTTTTTTCTTTTTGTTAATATATATATATATATATATATATATATATTATTAACACCTTGTGTAAAATCTGCAGGTGTGCAACTTCTCAATTTGTCTCTTTGCTCATCTTTCATTGTATCTTCTTACAATAAATATTGTTTCAACATAATATCTTCTTATTCGAGTCTTTAATCTTCTAGTTATTTCTCTTGTTGAATATTGTTGGAAAACGTGGGGTTACTGGTGCAGATCTATATTTGGTGGTTGTGTAAAAATAGAATTGTATATATTCCTAGGATTGTGGAAGGATTGATTTAGAAAGTTTTCTTTCTATTTCTTTCCGTCTATTCTTGTACTTTCTATTTCTTTTCTTTCTATTTTTCTACTTTCTATTTTCTTTTCTTTCTATTTTTTTCTTCTTTCTATTTATTGCAGCAGCTTATTGTATAAATATGCCGATTGGCAATAGAATGAAATACATCAGTATTCTACCATTCCAAAACATGGTATCAGAGCTCTAGGTTTGTCAACCTTGAGATTTTTTTCGGCCTTCATTGCCAGTTTTTTGTGTTTTTCTCTTCTAGCCTTCAGTGTTGATCTATAACCAGAAGTGTTCCTTTATTCTCCTTTATTCCGGCCAGTTCTTCTCTCCTTTATTCTCCTTTCCCGCTGGCCTTATTTTTTCTCCATTAACAATGTCCGACATGACTGCAACAAGTGCTCCCATCCAAACCGATGAAAGAGCAACAAATTCTCATCCTCACACTGGTGATTTGCAGAATATTCAGRCAACATATAGACTGAATGGCCAGAACTACTTGAAGTGGTCACAACTAGTGCGTACCTATTTGAAGGGAAAAGGAAAAATTAGTCACCTTCTTGGAACAGAGCCAAAGTTGGGCGAGCCAAATTTTGATGCTTGGGACGAAGAGGACTCCATGATTATG